GCTGCCCACCTCCCATTTTCCAGCAGGTAGATGGACCAACCAGGCCACCTACTGCTGTAAAGGGGGGCTGCTCTTATCACCTCCGCTAGTAAAAGGGGGGGGGGGGGGGGGGGGGGTTGTGGGAGCTGGTTTCTTTTTACGGAAAAAATAAAATAAAAAAAATTATGTCGTCCTCTGACTCAAATATTTTTTCTTTTTGTGTGTGTGCATATATATATATATACGATAAATATACATATGTGTGTTACAGGCACCCATTTACGATTTCTTCTTCCCCATGTGAAAACAATATGTCCCTCCATATCAAGGCGGTTGGGGACTGGACAAATGCTCTGCAGAGCCTGGTCGTCGAGGTATGTGAAAACGAAGTTGCCCGCCTATCTCTGAGTCGTTGTTTTCTTACCCTCTTTTATTTTTTTTTATTTTTTTTAAGAACTACTACTACAAAGAATGCTATTGTTTTTTTTTCCTTCGGATAAGTAGAGCTAGAATAAGGGGGACCATGCATGTAGATTCTCCATCAACATGTTCAAAAATGTCTTGCCCTTTCAGACCTTTTTCCAACTTCCCGCAGCCGCGGCCCCTCTTCTCTCCCCCCCCCCCGACAAATGCCACGATGACAAACAAACAGACTGTAAGAGCACAGTGTTTCAGCTATACGCCCCTTCTACGGTTGCATACCCTCTCTACGCACATCCAACTCCGCCCCAGCTCGATTCTCTATTCTTCAATTTCCATCGGTGAGGAGGAAGCAGAGGCCAGGAGCGCGAAGAACTATTACCCTCTTTTACTCCTCCCTCTTTCTCTCTCTTTTTTTTTTTTTTTTTTTTTTTTTTTTTAATATGCGCCGGTCATCGTTGCAGGGCGATGATGATGCCTGCTTTTTTAATTATCTTTTTTCTTACCCCCCCCGATCATCATGGTTATCTTCTCCGTAATACCTCCGTATGAGTCCCATTGAATTTCTCCTATTTTCCTCTTCTTTTTTGTTTTTTTAATTTTAACGGATATCGCCAAGGACGTTCTTTTTTTTTTTTTTTTTTTTTTTTCAATGAATTTTGCCTTACAATTTCAGAATGATCAAATGAGGCCAAGGACGTTCTCCCTCTGGCACTAGACTTTTTTTTTTTTTTTTTCTTTTTTTTTTTAAACCAGTATATTACCTTTGCCGCTTCAGAAATGACGGACAACGCCAGTTCCCGAAGAATTCAGAGGCCGGGCCCGACGATGACTGCCATTGATAAATAAATCTAATCACCGGCTGTCGTTTCGTTCGGCCTCCTGAAAGTCCGGAGGCCCGCTATTTTCCGAAACGACAAAGGTACTGGTGGTTTAATACTAAAAAGATTTCTTTAAAAGCTCAGAACTAAAAA